ATAAACTTATAAATAACAATAACAATAACAATCATTAATTCCTTATTTCTTCTAATTAAATTTACACAATATATTTGCTATGAGATAATCTCTTAATGTATTATCTAATTGTAGATTTGATTGGTTGATTATTTAATCAACACAATACAGTTTGTAAAAACTAATTAGTCATATGGGGTATTTTTGCCTTGAAATTAATTTCTCGTGAAACTCTTTCAAAAAGTAAAGTGATTGTATTTTTACATTATCACATTGGTTTATAATATTCTAAAGATACTTAAAAAATTGTTGAAAGCTCCCCCTTTTAGATGTATGTAAGAATTCACAGAGGCCATTAGTTAAACAGTAATTAAGATAATTTAATGGTAATTTCTTGTAATTTTAATTTAGGTGAGTTAATATTATATCTCTATATTGCTCACTTACTTGATAAATGGTTATGATCTTGAATATTATTGATAATCATTTTCTCTTTTTCTGTCTTAAAATTGTGAAATATCAATCTTAATAAAATTTTTATTTGAATTGAGTACTTTTTCAAATTGTTTAACTTAATTGTTGTAACTTTTTCCACAATAGCTATCAACTATTTTTTTTATTTTTCACAGCTGATTTTTTTGGTTTTTGTGAAACCTAAAATTGTGAATATTAAATTTCCCTTTTCTTCCAATTCTTAAATAAATAACAAAGTTCAAAATAATTTTGTTAAACTACTTAGATGATTTAAGAAAAATATTAGTTTTTTTTACTTTTCTTTTTATGTCAATTTGTATCTTCTTTAGGCTAACTAGTCCTAATTAATTTTTTAAAAGGAATTTAATAAATACAGTATCATATATATACCTATCCAGATAAAATTAAGATTGGTATTCATTTATTCTTCCTTACACTTGACTGACCATAGATTTTACAATATTTTTTTAAGTTAAAAATATGTACAATTACATATACTTCTAAAAATACATCTTATAAACCATAATTTATAAATATAAAGAGAGGAACTATTAACAGAATCATTAATGAAAAATATAAAAATAAATTGTAATTTTTGATAATAATGATCTTCACTTTTGTATTAAACCTTCTAAAAAGTGACTTCCTTTAGATTTAAATAATTATCTTCATTGCCATATCCTGAAATTTATTAATGGGAACTGTTTGTTTGAGATCCACTCCATGTTCATATTGGCATTCTAC